ATCCATTGTAAATGATATTAATATTTTATATAATTTGTCTTCTGCCTTTGCAGCTTTTAAATCAGATGGATGGCTTTGATGCTCTGGGACAGGTAGGATTCCTTTTTTTATTTAAGCTTTGTCTCCTCTTTCACAATTTTCCCCAGACACATCTTTTTTTTTAAATTTTCTTGAAATATTTATTTTTATGCAGCAATTCTTTTAAAATAAATATTTTATTTCCACTCCTTCCCCAGGTGAAAATCATTATGGCAACGAACCGCCCAGATACCCTCGACCCAGCTCTCCTCAGGCCCGGCCGTCTCGATCGGAAGATAGGTGGGTACAAGATAATCTTACCGCTTTTCAGTAAGAAATTAGTTTAACTTTTTCTTATGAATATTCATATACATCCACGGGGCATGTTTAGTTCCAAATTTATGTGAAGTTTTCGAGCTTGTTTCTTTCTGCTTTAGAAATTCCGCTACCAAATGAGCAAGCTCGTATGGATATCTTAAAGATTCATTCTGCGAAGATAACAAAGCATGGAGAGATCGGTAAACACTTTTTTTTTTATCATCATACTCTTATAGAATTAATTCCTTGCAAATTTCAAATTGATTTTAATTGGTTTTGAGTATATGCACGTGCGTTCCGCGCGTGAGCCACTGTACATGTACGTGCGTTCCGCGCGCGAGTCACTGTACATGCACCTGTGGTTCACGAGTGAGTCATCGTTATTAAAGACGTGATAGCTCGTTTTCTAGTTTGTAATTGTGACATTAATGGGAAACAAAAACTTACTGATTCGGCAAAATCGAAAAATACAAGAGCAAACGTTATTCCAGGAAAGGACGAGGTTAGCGATTAATACCAGTACGTATTGCAACAAGCGAAATTGAAAAAGCAAGGATCGTTTCCATGGAACAATGGACCAACTGCACACCTACCCGCCCGTAAGTAACTGTTGACGATTTTCTTCTTGCAGACTACGAAGCAGTTGTGAAGTTGTCTGACGGATTTAACGGTGCCGACTTGAGGAACGTATGCACTGAAGCAGGTACGGAAAAAGTTTCGAAGTGGTTCACTTCTTGCTTGTTCTTGTTTCTCCAATTTTAATTCTTAAATGGGTCGTTGTAAGTTCTGAGCTAAAAGTTGTAGCCTTGGCCTATTGATTTCTTTGATCCAATGACAAGAAGCATTTATCTGAAAGTCCCTCTATCTGTCAATAAACCGCAGAGCTTGGTAGTAAATCTGTGGCTGTCTGTACATTGGTTTTAGTTAAGGCAACTCTCTGTTCTTTTTCTCAGGAATGTTCGCTATTCGCGCTGAGAGAGACTACGTCATCGAGGAAGATTTCATGAAAGCTGCACGTAAAGTCTCCGACAATAAGAAGCTGGAGTCCAAACTGGACTACAAACCTGTTTGATGCAGACCTGTACTTCTGAAATCTTTGCTCGTTCAGTGTCTTGTCGAAGTCATCACTTTTTCTTCAATAAATCTTGGGCAAGAGTGCCATATAACCCCATACATTAATTATGCATAGAGTGAGATAGAATAAATATATGAAGTTCATCGTGCATCATACGTATGCATAGAGTGTTGCAAAGAAACCTTTATATTTAGTCTTTATGAAATGGAGTGCATAATTAATGTATGGGGTTATATGGAACTCTTTCCTAAATCTTGTTATAATGCCTGAGTGTAAATTGAGAACGTAACTAGAATGTAAATATTTTGGCGTACGTGTAAGCGGTACATGTACCATGCTTTTTCGAGCGCGAGATTCAGTGGGGCGAATATTCGGTCGCCATATTGGACTGGTGTAAGATCTGGGACGAGTGACAAAGCAAGGGGGAGGAGGGAAGGGTTTCTCTTCAGGGTGGCCAATTTACATTATCAACTCGGTTGATAAAGCCAAAATTGCCTTGTCGTACTCCCCCACCGACGCAACACCACAGTTTATTTAGAGACTTACACCCTTTATTCAGAGTTTAAACTTACCTACTAACAAAACGCAAAGGGCAAAATATACATTGATTTCGCTTGGTTTTCTTCATATTCCAAAATACATACATTTCAAGAATGTATCTCCCATTCATAACGATTGCAAAAGCTTTCCACCTTGATACACAACTGAAGGCCGAAAAGCAGGTAGCATCAGCTTTAAAAATCACTTGTGTTAACCGGTAACTCCTATTAGTCATTCTCCATTCTACCTGCTGTAGTATTCCTTGAGGGTCAGTCAGAAGAATTTGGGTTGTACTAAGAAGGTCCCCTTCATCATCCTCTGCTCTCATAACTCGTTTGCAGGACGTTGTATCGAAATCCCGGAGAGAAATTACATGGAGATCCTTTCTGAGAATGTTAGGGGTTAACGAGGTCCCAAACTGCCATAGAACTCGTAACACTAAACTATGTGCTTTTGTTTTAGACGGCGAAGTTGCGAGAGTCGAAAGAATGATTTCTAGTTACATCTGTCTGACTACAGGTCCTCCTTTAATGTCAGCCTCTGTGCAATTCTTTTGCGTTTTTGGCATTTGATGACACTATTACCACTAAAACTACTTGTTTAAGATATAAACTTCTTGTCGAAAAAGTCATGACAACGGGGCAAAACCTAATTAAGACGCTAAGTAAACCTCTCACCTGGTTCCAGGTCATACCGAGAATAGTTTTGCCAAAAATAGCAACTAAAGCAAAAGGGTTGCAACGACTTGTTACCATCCGAACTTCTCCCCCTCCCCTTTCCTCAACCCTAATCCCCCCCCCCAAAAAAAGAGCAAAAGTGTGTTTTGCTATTCTAAAATGTGACCAAAGTAAGACCCATTTTTTTTCTTTTCTTCAATTCTGTTTTCCCTCTTTTCCATGTTCTTCATGAAAAATATGATAGAAAAACAGTTCACAGACTACTAAAGATAAGAATGATTATGATCATCGGCGTGGAAAATTGTGTTACAAAGTCCTCTGTGCCCACTGTTCCTCTGGTCCTCTGTAGCCACTGTTTCCCTGGTCTTTTGCACCCACTGTTCCACTAGTCCTATGTGCTCACTGTTCCTCTGGTCCTCTGTGCCCACTGTTTCCCTGGTCCTTTGTACCCACTGTTCCACTAGTTCTCTGTGCCCACTGTTCCTCTTGTCCTCTGTACCCACTGTTCCCCTGGTCCTTTGTACCCACTGTTCCACTAGTCCTCTGTGCCCACTCTTCCACTGGTCCTCTGTACCCACTGTTCCACTAGTCCTCTGTGCCCACTGTTCCTCTGGTCCTCTGTACCCACTGTTCCTCTGGTCCTCTGTACCCACTGTTCCTCTGGTCCTCTGTACCCACTGTTCGAG